TGAGTTCAAGTGGGACACACAATTTTCTTGTCCCTAGTCCCTTGCATGTGTTCTGATCTACCAAGTACTCTGCAGTTGTTCCTGTTCCCCATGTATGACCCTTTCTCTGATTGACGGAGTTCCTGACTCTGGCTATTGTTTCTGTCTGCCCTGCTCTGTGTTCCCTGACCCGGTTCAGCTGACTACCCGCTTTCTTGTCTGCCCTGCTCTCAGTGTTCCCTGACCTGGTTCAGCTGACTACCCGCTTTCGCATCTGACCTTTGGCTTGGCACTGACAACATCCTGGACTTTCTCCATTGTTTTTTGCCATCTGTTTATTGTAGTTTTCTGTTTGCTTTTGGTCTCGGTACTTCAACAGTAATGCATCCAACCTTGCAAGTGCAATGTGGCATAAGATAAGGTGACAGCATTTTGTAGTTTTTTTAGTTGTGTACCACTGCCCCACCTCCTATCTGCATTTTATATTACTAGTGAACACCACCATACTAGTTATGCCCTACTGCCTTTCCGTCAGTAAAAAAATTGGTTTAATTACCTGAAACAACTTTCAGGTAATTAAACCATTTGTATTCATTAATGATTTACAGGGTTATGCACAAAATGGTGAAGAGTTTGGAGAAGGCAGGAGAAGTGAAAGTGAGCTGAATTGGAGAAATTTTCCAAATCAACTATTTTGGCCTAGATTGTTCACTTCTCCTGCCTTCTCCAAACTCGTCACCCTTTTGCGCATAACACTATTAATGCCTTTTTAATATAGTTTCCTAGAATTTGTAAAGCCAATTCCAACCAATGCTTGTATTTTTTTTTAAGAGAAATTTTATATTTTAGTTATTTTACTTATTTCAATTTTAACCTTTTTTGTGGCCTTTGTGGGTAATTTCAATTTTTTTTCATGCCCAAAGGACACCCTTAGTACATGTCTAGATTAAACAGAGTTTTAATATATGAACCAGTCAGGGAAACTGTCAGCTTACTTGAGGGGCTTCCCACTACAACGCCAGTGTAGTGTGCAAAGAAAGCAGAAAAATGAGGATGAGTTAAATACTGTTAAATATAGTTAAATATTTAACAGAGTTAAATATACCAATATATAAACAGTAAAAAGGCTAGAAAGGAGCAGATAGGCCCAATAAAGCACGCAAGCGGTGGGGGATATGATCTCCATGTACAAAATGTTCAATGGGGACAGTAAAATTACTGATAAACTATTTAAAATTAACTCCATTACAAAAACTAGAGGCCATAACCTAAAATTGGTGAAAAAAAAATTCCTGCACACGTGGCGAAGGGGGTTCTTTACAGTGAGAGCGGGTAGGGTCTGGAACTCACTGCCGCAGGCAGTGATTTCAGCAAAAAATGTGGAATTGTTCAAGAAACTTTTGGACGATTTCTTAAGGGACCGTAATATACAGGGGTACAGGTACTCCTAGAATGAGATCCTAATAGGTTGGACTTGATGGACTAATGTCTTTATTCAACCTCAAATACTATGTAACTATGTAACTGTACCACTGCATTGAAATATACTGTATGTATATTATTACAAAGTAGCACATTTATTTTTATTGTATTATATTAGACTGCGTTTTACAATATATTATTGGTGTTCTTTATTTCATATTACTTGACACAAATATCCCTCAAATTGTATACCTCATAAATTATTGATCATCATTTGGATTTCTTTAAGTATGAAGAGTACAACCATACACATAAACATTTACAGTTTCTTAAAATAAATTTATTTTAATCAAATTAATAATTTTAAGAATTGTAAATGTATGTGTATGGTCTTACTGGTAACACCTCAAAAGTCCCAAAGAGTGAACTATATAATTTATCCCATAATTGACAGTGTTTTTACAATGTGAAAAGGCCCTTTATTAAATGTTATCAGTAGATATTTTTTTAACTATAATTTGCAGGTCAAACCATACCTATAGTGTCCAACAGGGTACTAGCTAAGATGTCAATCAAGCTAGATTAATAATATTAACAATAATAATAATAATGTTATTTAACATTTAGAGTTGTATACAGTCAGCAAGGGCAAACGGCTTTGAAGTGATTGCTAAACTGCAAGGTAAAAATCTGTTCTCATTAAGGTAGGTGGCACAGCATGTGTAAATTGAAGAGTTGAGCACCAAGACAAGCAAAATGTTGTTCAGTCTGTCATTAGTATTCTGCTACCACCATTCACTTTATGCTGTTAATAATTACATGTAGTGGAAACTACACATGAATCAAGTGGCTTAAATGTGACACTCGAAGGTTTAGCAGTGTACTAAGTGAGACCAATATCATCCATCTATGACACGTCAGAATGAACTGCTGTCTTCTACCGTCGCTGGCCTCAGAAAGTCAGATAATGGAAACCTGTCAATCGCCGTGCAGAAGAATGAAAGGATTGCCCATTCCCTGTGGAGATCATTCTGCTAAGTAACTCCTGTACAGGAGAGGATTTCTTTGCCATTCTGTGATTGATGGCGGTTCTTTGTTTACAAGGCATCACAATCTGCTCGTTGTTTACATACTGTATCTTCTAAATGGCTTAGCGAAAAACTAATTACATTCTGTGTTAGCTCATTGTGATGACAGTTAAATGCACTTAATCATAGATTAGAAAAATCTACCCTGGCTGTGAGAAGGAACGGAGTGTTCCCCCTCACAGCCGCCAGTGATAGCCAGCAGCCTGGCTGTCCGAGCAAGATGCCATAGTGGCCCGCATGGCATCAGGGAGATGTCTTGGCCGGGCCCCATAGCGGCCGCCTGGGTCGCTATGGTGATTGTTACGCCACTGGGCACTACCAGCAAATCAGGACTATACAACATGTAGGTATTGAGATGCTAGCATTAGTATAGATGTTTATTTATGTTTTTTTCTTTTTTTTTAAATAAAAATCTGTTTCTGATTTTATATTTAAGTGTATTGGTAGCTTTAGATAGAATAGGGAAGGGTTAAAACCCGTCAGATTATATATTACAGCTACAACAGGACGTTAGAGGAAATCTTGGTAATCTTGTCACCTTTTGTTCTGGTAACAGGCTCCTTTCCTGTACTGAAAATGCTCACTCTGATTTCACTGCACACTGATTTTTTTTCTATAGTGTATTAGAAGCTGCAGCAACTCAGAGCCAACCTCATTTCCTGACTGGAGGATGTCCATCTAAATCTTTCCTCCTTAGCCTGGCTATCCTTGGCTCGCCCCTTTCATTCATTTAATCACAGAGGCTCAGTATCAACATGTGGGCATTGCCATGTGATCTACCTAAGAACACCCACTCTTCCAGACTGACACCTGCCCATAAAGGAATTTTGACATTTTAATAACTCCTCCCAGGACTCAGACTACTGTTTGTATCAGGGCTAAGGGCTCTTGATAGGGGTACTGAAGCGGGGGTGCTGTGATGTTTTCAGGAAGCTATGTACAAGTACCCTGTCGTTCCCCCTTCCACCAGCCATGAGCTGCTTGCATTGCATTGAGAAGTACAGAGACCAGTGATGATGTAACTGTCTTAAATTCGGTATAAAATGAAAACAGAATGGTTTTATGTAAAAAATAAAATTAGCATGTTGATGATACTTATGTCCTATTGAAGTACAATGTGAAAAAATGGTGAAAAAAAAGATTGGCAGGAAAAGTTGATACAAAATAGAGAAAACAAATTGAAAAAAAAATCACAAAGAGGAAAGATCTACCTTACCATTCATAAGAAATGTCCAATTATTCTGTATCAAAAGTGACACTTATTGCTGAAAAGTAATCAATCAAGTGTAGCTCTATATCAAATAGTAAATCCCAATCAAACTATTTACATAAAATAGTATATGTTATATGTACTAATAAGATAAGATGTGTCAACAACCAAAATACAATCAAATATTCAGTGCAATCTGTGATAAATCAGTATATTCCCATTGTAATGGCCCATTCACACAGCTTCTGATGTGTCGTTCCCCCGGCACAGTGCCGAAGCGCTGATCCGAGCACATCACACTTCTTTTCTTAGGGCTTTATTGAAATGTCACAAGTAACATTTCATTCAGTTGTACAGGCACAGTAGGGTGCAAGGCAGTTGTACCACATCACATCCCGCTGCACTGAAAAAGTACAGCATGCCGCATTTTTTTGTTTTCAACGTATACAACCACGATCCCTGTGAAGCAAGGATAGATGACAGTTCCACGCCAAAGACAAACAGCCACCATCATCCAGAGCTGGAAATTCCTGATGAATGCCTTGATCTAAACATTGTCTGTTTGAACATTAAGAGTTTTCATTAAGTAATTAAATTGCAATAAGCTGTTATTTTAAAGAGCAACTTTACCCCATTGACTTTCTTAAGTTTCAGGTGGGGTGGAGTGTGGTCTATCCCATGCCAGGTCTTTCTTGCTATTTAGGACTATAAAGGGAGATCTTCCCCATTAACTCTAGCGTGGGGACAGGCTTTTCTCCTTGAGGGTCAGTGAAAGAGATTAATCCCCACCTCGCTTTTCCTGTTTTTTGGCAAGAGTTGCATTTTAAGCTTTTGAAATTGTGCAGCGATTGAACTCATTGAACAATTGAACTAAAATGACTCCTAGAAAAAATGCTAAAATTACAGTGTGGTAAAAATAGCTAGAGAATGACAAGCAGCTCTTTTTAACACTAAGCCTTTTCATCAAATGACTGCTGGATCGTTACTTGTCAAAATAGAACATCAGTATGTTGTACACGCCAAATAAGATTTATATATTTATATTGTATTATTTGACAGCTTTAAGATTGTCAGTTAAATAATATGTACATGTTTTGTTTATTTCATTGGTATGAAATCTTATTTAAATGTACCCTATTGCATTCACACAGTCTCCCAGAGCATGGCAATAGCAAGCAGAATGTATTGTCGGCATTGGGGCCATTTATACCTTTGCTATTTGTGCAGTAAGTTTCAGGCATTCAAAGAAAAGTCCATTAAACTTTAAGAAGGCTAACACAAAGAATTTGTTTGTCTTTTAGAGCGATGTGATGACTGGGGAGTAGACACCGGGAAGCTGACCCAAACATATGATGGGGAACCAGTCCGAATCGGATGCCCTCTGTTTGAGGACTACCTGAAACATAACTATAGTACAGCACATTCTGCTGGGCTCACGTTAATGTGGTATTTTACAGCCCAAGGAAAGGACCTTGAAGAGCCAATCAACATTCGTCTTCCAGATAACAGGATTAGCAAAGACAAGGATATTCTCTGGTTTCGACCAGCTGTTCTCAATGACACAGGAAATTACACTTGTATGCTGAGGTAAGTTATTGCGGAACAAAAGTTAAAACATTGTACAATTGATTACTGATGTATAGTTAATATCTAATCAATTCTAGAACTACAGTACAGGACACAGGATATTTAGTCTTAACGCTGGTTATATGCAGCTCCCTTTAGGTGATTGGACACTGGCAAAACAGAGCTGCAGGGCCAGCCCCTATATATCCCGTCTCTCTGGCATGAGAGGGGTTATATAGAGTTAATAGGTGATGGAAACTGTGAAAAGCTTAGCTTTTTTTTTTTTGCTGTCCTGTTTTTTCTTTGTATGTTTTTTCTTTTACTGCTAGCAAGTCAGCTGCTCTATAGCCACTGTGGCTCCCCTCTCAGCAGCTTTCTGAATCGTTTGACGCCTTGGCTGAGCTTCAGGGGACAGTACCCAGGCACCTGCCTGTAGGAAGGTGTACTGCTGGCCTGTGTGGGCGCTCATCTTGACATGTGGTGCATCACGTTGAGTTTGCTGCAGGGTTCTATACAGGACCATGGTCCATAAGTCAGTGGAGCCCTGTCCCACAAGAACCCTCTTTGGCTATGCTCACCATAATGGGCAAAGCCAGGATGCGGTTTGTCTCTAACGTTCTGCTCCAAGATGAAGACATCTACCGCTGTAAGTCTGGACTATGTGTATTTTCCTGGTGGCCAACATGTTGTTGTTGCGCCCCTTTCCCCAGCCACTATGTCTGGCATTATGGGTAGGATCTCTGACCTTTTAGAGGTCGTAGATCGCGGGGGTCACCAGCATGCTCCTTCATCCTCTCCTCCCCTCCAGAGTTAGTTTGTGACTTTTTCCTCTTGTGGCTGCTGTACTGCCTGAGGAGGAGGGGAAGAATGATAATTTTTTCCTTGCCTCTTTGGAATCGTATCAAGAGTAGGTGTTTTCTGATATATCACAAAAATTAAGGATATCATTGCTACCTTTTATTAAGGCAGCGCACTCATGTCTCGCATTAGAACTGCCTAAGTCAGCCTGCCCTAAGGTCGCCAGCATGGTTTTCTCAAAAAATGCCCAAAAATGCTATGACTTTTCCAGTCCACTTGTTCTTAGATCTGGTTCTGCATGTTGATTGGCCTAACAAGAAAAAGATTTTTGTCCTTCCAAAGGACAATACCCTATTGAGGGGGGTTTTCTTAAGAAATGGACATTTCCTGTGGTGGAGCCAGCCGTTTCTTGCCTTAATAAGACATTCATGGTTCCAGTGGAAGATGTTCTGTTTTCAAGGATAAGGTGGATAAGAGGATAGAAGCCCTCTTTAAGGCCTTGTTTTCTCTGGCTGGTCCTACCATGTAACCTGTCAGTGCAGCTATGGTTGTCTGTCGGACACTTACGGTCTGGATTAAGTGTATGGTTTGTGACCCTCGCTCTATTTTGATGGATGCATCTTTCCAACACCTGGAGCTGCTACCTAGGGGCTTGCTCTACTGTGTGGGTAGACCTGGCAGATGTGTTTTACCAGATATCCAGGACGGGCCTCCTTTCCATCCACATAAGAAGGATTCTCTAGCTTACGTTTTACAAGGTGGATGTTCTGGCCTCTTTTCATGCCAGTTTCAAGCACAAGGAGCTGCCATCTGAGCCCTCCTTGAGCTCTTTCTTGCCTGTTGTTACCTATAGGCATGTTAGCATGTGTTGCCCACCTCTTATTTGGACTACTTGGAGGCATCCAAGGGTTAAGATTAAAAGCTTCTGTGTCCTGTACTGTACAATGAATTAAATAGGATTCATGGCTTACCTGTAAAATCCTTTTCTTAGAGTACATTACAGGACATAGGTCTTGGTTGCTATCAAACTGAAGCTTGCTGGGAGAGGGAGGGGTTACATAAAGACTCTTCCTGCAGCCATTTTTGGCCAGTGTCCAGTCACCTTAAGGTAGCTGCATATAACCTAGGGTTAAGACTAAAGATCCTGTGTCCTGTACTCCAAGAAAAGGGTTTTACAGAAAAGTAAAAAATTCTATTATTTGAAGCTGAAATTTATTCACACAGTTTATGAGTCAGAGGAATTACTCCCTCCTTTCATTTCAAGTTGGAGACAGGGATCCTGAAGGCAAACCTCTTCTGTTTTGGTCTCTCTTTATAAAACGCACAGTGCTTTGTAATTCTCGTGTCATCAGTGCATTGTACATGAATTTCTTATTTTATAGAAATAGTATAAAAAAAATATACCTTCAAAAATGTGCACTTTAAAAGCAGAAATTCAATCAAAATTGGCCACAAACCACTTGTTTTCCTTTTAATTCAGTGCCAATAGATTAACCCATGGAGGAATGAGATTCTATTAATTAATCTGTTATTCAGCACTTGTGGTGTTAGATTGAAAATAATGTTATGTGGTACTTTGTACTGTAAAATGTCTTACAGTAAGTCATAGATATATAGGAACACATTCTATAAGTTATTAACTACTGTACTTATTTTGTTTGGACCAAAAAAATAAATTTTATTTTCCCATCCTGAAAATTGATGGTAACAATCTAATAAAATAACTGGCTTAGTGTAAGAGGAAAAAAACCGAGAAATGTAAGATTTAAAGGTCTTGGGACGTTTGGCCTCATATTACTTTACAGTAAATCTAGCCCACAGTCAGTGTTCCCTTCCAAGCAATAATTTTAGTTGCATCCTAAAATTCTCAGCCTTGTTATTGTGCTCTGCTATAGGGCAATCTGGAGCTGGAGGATCACCAGCATTCCCAAAGCTAGTAAGCATTTTATAACTTGGTAGTACCATATAAATTATGGCTGTGCATAAGGATTTTAAAAGTACCTCCTTAAATTTATTATGAGAACAGAACTGAAGCTTTGCATGTTGTAATGCGTATCTAGAGCAGAAGCGTGGTATTTAGATTACTATTTTCCCGCTACCCGCTACTCGCCAATGTTTACAAAAACTGCTGCCAAATACAAAGAGACATTCTGTCTCTCAGGCAGCATAGAAAAGGTAAAGCCCTTCAGTCAGAACTTGCACACCCAAGGACACCTCTGTGTCAGTCAAGTCTTACTTCTCTCTGCATTTGTCAGCAGCCAAGGGCAGTGGTTTGAAATGGAATTGGCTTCTGACGTTTGACAAAATGTCCAGTAACAGTGCTGTGTAGCCTTCTAAATTTCTGGGGAAAGGAGGACTGTGTGGAACAGCCAAAAGAGAATACTGTGAGGCTCAATTCACATTGTGATTGCGTTTTCCAACGCGGTTTTCCCGCAAACCATTTTCAATTTCCTCGGATTGCGCTTGTTTGCGGCTATTGTATAGCCACGAATGTACGGAATCCGCCATGTTATTGCGCTAGCATATGATTTAACTTGGGAGCAACATCATGGAACTGTAGTAGAATTTACTGGAAATGTATTGATAGGGAAACATGGATGCTTCCATTGCGAACCACTGTTCTGAAAATGACAGTTGTCTGGTTGTAATGCTAACCCACTTGCATCAATACTTTCAATCACATACCCAGAAAAATGATGCAGATAAGAGCTCCTTAACCCTTTTGTGACCAGAAGTCATTGAAGCCTGGATGTCAAGTTCAGATTTAGCAGGATCAGCATTCATTGGTTAACTTGACTTTAACTCTGATTAATTTACATACCTATTTTTTTTTTAAGGACATAGACTTTTATTTGAAACACGGTTTTAAAGCAGAATTGAAACCCCCAATCTGTTTCCCAAAAGAAAGCTATTAGACATGTTCAATAAATGGTATTAACCACTTCAGCTCTCACACCTCTACACCGACTATGGAGCAGAGCAATTTGTCAATGTCTGCTATTGCCCTTTTATTCAACATTAACTTTGTCATTACTTAATTATTACAGGTATTTATAGAGCGCCGACAATTTGCTCAGCACTTTACAAAGTTGTGCATTCACATCATTCCCTACCCTCAAGGAGCTTACAATCTAAGGTACCTATCTCACATGCATACATAGAGGGCCAACTTAGAGAGGAGCCAATTAACCTAACAGCATGTCTTTGGAGTGTGGGAGGAAACCGGAGTACCCGGAGGAAACCCAGACAAGCACAAGGAGAACATGCAAACTCCTTGCAGATAGTGACCTGGCTGGGATTCAAACCAGGGTCACCCAGTGCTGCAAGGCAGAAGCGCTAACCACTACACTAGTGTTAAACAGAGGCACACTTCTATCTTCACACTTTAGTGGCATCTGCAGACCAAAGGCTTAATTTGTGAATAAAGCATCTAGCCTGTATGTGATCACTATGTCACAGCTGACATTGTAAAAACATGATCAGGAATCATTCTGATTCTTGGTCACCAATCATTAGTGGGGCCCATAGCTGTCGGTAACAGCACGGTCTGACTAGTTGCTACCTGTCAACAGGTTAATGTAAATTAACTTACCGTCAAGGTGGGAATTATATTCTATGGATTGCAGTTAATTAAGGGTTAAAGTAGTATTAAAGTATTTTTGTTTTACATATATCTACTGCTAGCAAGATATATATATATAAATACACATATATATACATACATAAAAATTACCAAATAAATATTTACCTCTGTCTCCGCCGATCGCTCCTGACTGAAGATCTGAAGCCTCTCGAGTTAATGGGGCGGGCGCATGCACAGTAGAGATCTTCGGCGATGAGAAGAGGAGAGACACAGTGGAAGTAAATGCACGCAGCCGTGAGCGCGCACGTCGGACAGACACCGTGGGAACCGAGGAGTCTGCACTAAATCGGAGACCGGCACCAGCGCTGGAGGGACTCCTGAAAACTACAGGAAAGAAGATGATGATCAGATCAAGAGGCATCATTTAAGGTAAGTTCTTAAAGCAGCAGATGGGCGGGATTATGACTTTAATGTCACTATAACGTCATAATCTGCATACTTTCTCTTCTTCTATATCTCATATAGGTTTACTTTCATATGTATATTCAGAAATGTGTCTTCTGTCTCTGCCATCTTTACACAAATATTGTTTATGATTTGCTCCCTGTTCTTTTATTGGATTTTGTCGTTCTTTGTACTAGCATTGACAAGCTGTTATCATTATATGCTGAGGGGAAACAAAGCTCTCTATGCATTAGTATTTTATTGCAACAAAGCAAATGCCATTGTCAATTTTCAGTGTATATCATTTTACTGCTCATTTGACTGGTGTGCTTTGCTGCCTCTTATTATCCCCAACAAACAGCTTTTTGTGTGTAAGATATTACACACACTGCACATACACTTCTTTTCACATTTCCAGGAACTCTGCCAACCATCCATGACCAGATTGGTTGGATGCTGCAGTCCTCTCCTAAGCATTGGAGCTTTACTATGTCAAAGGGTTATTAAACCCCCAGCGGTTTTTGCATATACAGGCAGTCCCCGGGTTACATACAAGATAGGGACTGTAGGTTTGTTCTTAAGTTGAATTTGTATGTAAGTCGGAACAGGTACATTTTTTAAGTGCAACTCCAGCAAAAAAATAAACATTTTTTGTTGTACAAACCTTGCTGGGCAGTGACTCTGATGTCATCACTGATACAAGATACTGGACCAGTATTAGAATTATTAGAACATGTAGAACATGATTTTGGGTGCAGTATTAGAACATGATTTTGGGTGCTTTTAGAAACTTTTGAATGTGAGTGTCTAACTACATTTGGCTTTTAACCACTTGAGGATTTAGAAAATAAGAGATATATCCTAAAAAAACTTCAATGTTGTAGACTGTATGCTTTTTACACAGTGCAACTCACTGCACCATAGAGAGTTGCAACCTGTTGCTGTGCATTGAGTTAAATGAAGTGTCATTTTATGATGCTTCAATAAAGTTAAAAACTAAAAAAATAAACAGTATGATTCATTATAACAACGCATCGCATCGCTCTCCACAGCCCCTACACAATATATGCCAACACGTTTTAGTGTGCAGGCTGGTGGAAATTCGCCCTTACATTTTTTGCATGTTTGCTTCATTTATGCTACGGTTTATTATTTTTTATATTTTGAGGTATTTTTTAACACTGTATTAAGTTTTGGTTGGTTGTTTAGGATATATTCTACATATCTGAGTGGGTATATTTACTTTATCTGATACAATATTGCTTCTGTCTGCCAAAGACAATTGTCAGCAGTTCATGGGATTATTATTTACAGCAATTCTGTGGCTGACGTAGCCCTTTTCAACCAGGGTGGCTTCTGGCTTCCTCAGGGGTATCTTGAAATTTCCACACAGCGTCGTGCCACTGATGTGCAAAGGGCTTCTGATGTGAAAGAGGGGGGGGACTCTGATGTGAAGGGAGGCTTCAGATGTGAAAGAGGGGGGTTCTGATGTGAAGGGAGGCTTCTGATGTGAAGAGAAGTTTGGAGGGGAACTCGTGATGTATAGAGGGGTTCTTGTGTGAATAGCGGCTATTAATGTGAGAGGTGGACTCCTGATATAAAGGTGCACTCTGATGTTAAAGAGGGGATTCTGATGTAAAAGGGGAGGCTCTGATGTGAAGTGGCTCAAAATATTATGGGGGGGGGGGGCTTTGAAGTGGGGGGAGGCCAATGTTTGTTTTTTTTGTGTGGGGTCTGCACTTAAAATTCATAGCAGACCCCATCTCGGATAATGGTCTGGTATGGATTTTGTAGGGACTACATGTCAGTTTTTACATTTTAGGGTTTTTACATTTTAGACCAGGATGCCTCGAGATTTTGCTTACTTTTAAAGAGTGCGGTGACCGAAAAAAATTTGAACAAGGCTCTGCTAAAGTATTTATTTGCAACACAGTAATACCAGTGTTATCAGAATTGACAGGACTATTTATAATATACTGGTGCCCATTTCTTCTGCAAGTGGGAGCAAGCACCAGCTTATTTATGATATTTATATGCTATATAATAATTCAACCAGAAAATAAATTACCCTAAGAACATTCGATTTTGATATGCTCTCAACTGGTTAACTCCCACAAAATAAATGTACATGCAGTTTCCCTGGGTGAATAACTATGCATATTTTTTTTATAAAGAGACCCCTTTGTGTTTCCTACACATCATCAAAGTGTTTACTGGTATTTTCTGTTCCTTAGATGCATGTCTTTTACGCTTGGTAAACATTTAGAAGAGCTTTGCATTTGCTGGCTACCTGTGTGGATCTGATAGCACCCATGTTTCATAGTTTTGTTAGTTTTGGGCAGACATGCACTTTAAACACAAATGAATCCTAAAGAAACATGGCAGTAGCAATATAGGACAAGATGTTTTATCTAATGTATACTGCCTAGCACTACTGTACACTGTATGCTCTACCGTGGAATCATCTATTACACTCATTTTGCAAACACCAATTCTTTCTTTGTTTTCAGTCCAGTGTGTAAAATATTATGCCGGTTTTGACAGGGTAGAATTACAAAATTCTCTGCTGATGCAATAAAGGGAATTGTTTTGCAATCTGGTAAGCTTGTACTGCTTCTTATTGATTTGATATTCAATTTTTAATCTTCAAGGTACCTGGCAGAAGTTATTGCTTTTATACCATAGCTGGTAAACTTTATTAAACTGTGTATCAATGTTCCAGATGAAAATAGAGAGTAATATATGTGCTATCTGAAGCATGTACTTTTTTTCCCTCCCTAGGAACACCACGTTTTGCAGCAAAGTTGCTTTTCCCATGGAGGTATTCAGAAAAGATCAAAATGCATGTGTTAGTACCGCCAAAGCGTCAGAGGAGAAGTTGTTACCGCTGGGAGAAAGACATTATATGACATGTCCAGATACCTATGGCTATTATCCTGCCAATGTAACACCTACTGTGAAATGGTACATGGTAAGTGCAAGCTACACATGATCTACACTGCCAAATGCATTCAAATATGTTTGTTTTCTCACATTAAAGTGACACTAACCTCAGGATCTTAATCTTAAAAATGTATTGAAGTTCATTAACTATTAACAAAAATTTAGCTTTTTTGTGTATCACTCGGCTGTAGATCCTGAATCATCTCTGAATTGGGGCTGACACTGTCCTTACTTCTGGAGGGTGGCTACTTTTGTTCACCATAGTCCCCGTGTGTGTTGTAAAGGTGCTCCAAGCTCACTCCTGTGATGGACTACAATCTCACATTTAATTTACTAATTTGTATGGAGATTATAGTCCATCGCAGGAGTGAGCTTGGAGTGGTGGCTACTTTACAACACACACAGGGACCATGGGGAACAAAAGTAGTCACCCTCCAGAAGGAAGGACGGTGTCATCACCAATTCAGAGATGATTTGAGGATCTACAGCTGAGTGATATACAAATAAGTTACATTTTTGTTAGTAGTTAAGGTCCCTGAATGCATTTTTAAGATTTAACTCATGAATTCATATTTTTATGTTTCTGTTTTAGTTAAAGACGTATTCGAAGAGTAACATGTACTCTATACTTAGAGCCAGCGTGTGACACTGCAACTGACACATGGCGCCACTATAGATCAAGAACTGAACGATCACAAACCGCTGAGGGTCAGACATAGGAGGGGGGGATAGCAGTGGGATGCATCTTGACAATATCAGCAAATAGTGGGCATTGGCCCATTAGATGCTGAGTTTCGGTCACAGGAGTATATTGTAAATGTTCTCCTGTGACCCAAAAGAGGACTAAAACCAAAAAGTTTGGTTTTAGTTCTCTTAATGTGCATGTTTCCACTGTAGTAATAGAACACTGTGTACCTAATTTATAAACATGTCTCTCAATAGCTCTCTCTGTATTTTTCCCTAATAGTCAAGTTCAGACCTTCTCCCATTGCCATTTTCCTGCAGGTTTGAATCCGATTGCTGTAAGGCAGTACACACTGTTCTCATGAAAGATGATTTGATAAACGAGGCGCAATCTGTTGGTGTTCTGTATGGAAAGTGTATTATTTACAAGCTTCATTTTGCAGAGATAATATCCCTTTTCTGGGTGCAGTGCAGTATGCCAATGCATTTGTAAACCCGTAATTCTACTAATGATATTATTCACATAACAAATAAGGCATAAACACAATGTCTAAGAGGATTACCCTGCATGACAAGCTTTGTTATTTCCAGTCAGATTGCCATTCATCATGTAGATTAGCATTCTATTTTTTAGCAGCGTTCTTATGTTCTGAATTAAAAAATATATTCATAATGTGTAGCTTCCTAACCAGGATCATTGTTTATTTATAGTCGCAAAATAAGTGAGATGATCTATATTTGCTTACTGCCCCAGATTTGTCAGTCACAGTGTTATGGTTCAGCAAAGACCAGTGGGTCATTTAAAACCCAATGAGTGGGGCATTCGAGTAAAGGCTAGCTATGTAAATTGGGCATCAGCTTAGAAAAGTAATTTCTCCTTTTAATACCACTGCCAGAGCACTTAAAGGGAAATTCCAGATTTAAAAAAAAAATAATAATAAATGCACATTTCCTTATACAGTAAAAGAAAACGTGCATGGATGTAGGTTTTTTTTTGTGTTTGTTTGATTTTTGCATTGGAGCCAGTAAAACACTGCAACCTGGGCCAGTGCAGCTTGTCTCCTGCAGACTCTTCCTCCCGTCCATGTACAGACATTCAATAACGTGGACGGGTGAAAGAATAAGTGTGGTGACTCCTTTGAATACTACAAGTCCCTCTGATGTGATGGAAGATGGGACTTTCAGTTTCTCCATTCACAGATCCTCTAAAAGGTTTTGTAAATGAATGGCGTTGCTATGTGGTCAGAACCTCGCCTAGCCGCACCGAATTCAAACATCCACAACAGCCTGCGGGTAGAAGAACCCCACGATTCAGGCAAGGTGGGGGGAGGAGCTGGGGTTGTGATCTGACCAGGTTTTATGTTACACCCTGAATGCGGGTGTAACATGAAACATAGTCATAAAAGTAAACTAAAGCTGGCCATACACTGTAAATTTCTCTTTGTTCAAACTGAGGGCTGAATGAAGAAAATATAACCAGTTCCTCCATCAACACTTATGAGCGCTTTTAACCTCATTCGATCAGTTGCTCAAGGGGTGCCTGTGAATGGAGGCAAAAATTTATGTTTTTAGTAGACTTTCTTTTTAATTAGAATGTAATATTAGGAAAATTGTGCATTATGGCCTCTAGATGGTGGCGAGGAGCAAAGAAAATAAATAATTCATACAATCTAGTGACCATAATGCATTATTTTCCTAACATTATTAAAAAGGAAGTATAGTAAGAATGTTTGTTTTTGCCTCTAATCACACAGAACAACATTCACAGTTTTGCAGGATGAATGGTTCAACACAATGTTTATAAATTGATAACTATGTGTTATCAAATGCAAAACAAACATGACACCTTAAAGTGAATTTCCACTTTTGCAGTCAAATTTGAGAAACCCCTCCTATATGTTCAGTAATCACACAACATAAGGAAAAATAGATGTTTTGTTGCAGCAGACAACATGGCTGATTCCAGGATTTTCTCAGCCCCTATACAGTAATGTGTCCTTATAGAAAGACTTGGGACTGACACTTGAGGATTGTGTTCCTCTCCTAAACTTCACTAACATAAAATGGAGAAGCCAGGTTTATCATCCATTAACTCCAAACATTACAAAGAAGGAAAACAAATACAAAAAAATGTAATGCTTAAGAAACCATAACCAACACAAAATTAAATGTAAACTGCAATAAGCATTTTTATATATTTTGTTTAGCTTCTGCTATGTGAATGGGAACATGTAACAAATATAAAATAGGTGTTATCTCAATTTGGCTGTGAAAGTGGAAATATACTTTGACTAGCAATCTGCTTAAAGGACAACTGTACCTTTTTGTAATATTTTCATTTAATCAATTCCCCCCATCCCCCTGTGTGCATCCCACTAGGACATTTACTTAGCTTTAGCCCTGATCCAGCGATCTTCACTGTGTGGCCCCGCTCGGAGCTGTAGAGCCTTCTGCCCAAAAATGGTATTTCCATACTCTGCATGCTTGCCACAGCCTTATTCATTCCTATGAGAAAGCTTAAAGGAGAACTATGAGGTGAGTGATTTCCACTCATCCTCATAGTTAGAGCCGACCTGTGACAAAGAAGCTGTCGCAGGTCGGCTCTATCGATCTGGAAGTGAGCAGAAACATTCACCAATCTGTTCACTTCCCGATCATCTCCCTGCAGTGAGCGGTGACTGTCAGTCTCCACTCCCTGCAGGGATTCCCCCCTCCCCTCTCTGATCCTCCAGCGCTAAGTGGAGGAACGAATAGGGGAGGGGCGGGCAGAGCTGGCTCTGCCTCTAAATAGGCAGAGCAAGCTGTCACTCACGCAGCTGGGTGGATCATGACCGTATTGTCGAGATCCGTCCTGGCTGCGGCCCCCTCAGGCAATAACTCGCTATATACTGAACTTTGGGTCACGGAAAGAGGTTGGTATATGTCCTCCCGTGACCCTAACTGCCTGTTCACACGACGTCCGCTTTGTGTGCTGACCTGATCCGTACGCTCCTGCACTCAAAATGCATCCCAATGTATTCCTATGTGTTTTATGGGCTACAGTTCTCACATGCGCAGTCCGTTCAGGCTAGGACAGAAAAATACTGCATGTCACATTTTGTACGGTCAGGAAACGCAAACGCGTCAAACGCACTGCACTGCAGCTAACATACAAACAGCCCCACTCCCCTTTTTTTTTTTTACTGGAACGCATCAAAAACGCGGCCAAAACGCACTGCATCAGTAGCACCGCATCTTCAGATCCGGACCTGAAACTCATGTGAACAGGCCCTTGAGAACTATGGGGAAAAACACTTACCCCATAGTTTTCTTTGAACTCCAAGCGGGAGACCGGTTTTTCCATAGGAATGATATGTGCTGCAGCATGCAGGTGAAGTATGGAGCAACCATTTTTGGGAGAAAGGCTGTACAGCTCCAAAAAGGACTGCACAGTAAAGACCTCTGGAACAGAACTGAAGTTAGTGACACTAAACTCAGGAGTTGAAAATGCATTTAAGTACCTGAACTATTAAAGTCACAAATATTTTTCTTTCCCCCAATGCTGCTTTAGGGACTTCCCTTAAATGATGCCTCCTAGATCCGATCATCTTCTTCCTTCCACTTGTATTCAGCAGTCCCTCCAGTGCTGGTGCCGGTCTCTGATCCAGCGCAGACTGCTGTCTCTTCCTGTCCCATGGTGTCTGTCCGACGTGCACGCTCATGTCTGAAGACTATAACTTCAATACAAATTAGTAAACTAAATGTGAGAGTGTGGTCCATCACGGAAGCAATGATTTGAGATCTACAACTGAGTGATACACAAATAAGATACATTTTTGTTAATAGTTAAGTTACTTGAATGCATTTTTAAGATTTAACTCCTGAGTTTAGTGTCACTTTAAGGAGAAAAGACAGGAGAACATCATCACAAAATAAAGGTACTGCACAGTTTGACACAACAAGATTGGCCGCTTTTTCACACTATACACAGTCTAAGTAGCTATGGATATGGAGGAACTTGTGTCACTAGTCAAACTGAGTTCTAGAGGTCAAGTAAATGAAGCAAATCTCCCAATAGAAACCTTTTCTAATATCTAATAACAATATAATTTCCTTGTGCTGCATGATGAATTCTGGTTATTATTCCTACCTTCCTAGAAATGTTATACATAGGTCACACTTCCTTTTGGGATTTTCTTCCTACCTGTAGCTTGTTTCATTCCATTCAAATTTAATCTAATGACTAGGTCCAGATCAAATTACATTTTAAGCTTGCAGACTGTAAAATATAATCTTAAACTTTGATATTGCTTTACTCAAATCCCTTTGTTGAACCGTTACATGTTGTAATAATCTCTTAATTTCTCATTTTGGGACTGTGAGAAAAATGTTGATTTGTGCTTGGTGGTTTGGAAACATAGTTTTGTTTTTCATAAAGTGTCTGTTTTTTCTTTATTTTTTTTTAAACAGAACTGTGATCTAGTTAATGGTTTCGTCGACCGAGATCTTAAAGGTCCAGATTTAATATTTTTAAGTATGTCTCTGCAATATCAAGGAAATTATACATGTATTGTAACATATGAGGATAGTGGAAGAATTTATAACCTTACTAGGACTATGCACGTTAAAGCAGTAGGTAAGAAAATCGAAGTATGAAGTATAATCTGTTTCGACTTGTGTTCATTTTGTAAATTTGGAAATTATATGCTGAGATTTCCTTGCCACCCACCCCTGACAGCCCTTTAAGGGGTTCTGAACGCCAGGAGTTGCTGGTAGGCTTCACAATTATATAAAAGCAATTTTTTTTTTCTCTCAACATTCTGATTTCTTCTCCCACCCTTTAGTGCTCTATGCTGACATAGCTTAGTAACTGCTATACCCTCATCACATATGTCTTTATTGATTTATTACAGGTGTTTATAAAGCGCTGACAATTTACAGAGCGCTTTACATACTGCACATTCACATCAGTCCCTGCCTTCAAGGAGCTTACAATCTAAGGTCCCTATCTCGTATGCATACAGTACTTACAGGGACAATTTAGACCGGGGCCAATTAACCTTCCAGCATGTCTTTAGAGTGTGGAGTAAACTGGAGTACCCAGAGCAAACCCATGCAAGCACAAAGAGAACATGCAAGCTCCTTCCAGATAGTGTCCTGCAAGGCAGAAGTGCTGACCACTATGCCAATGTGCTGCCCCAGAGGAAAAGTGGGGAGGTGTCAGATGAATTCTGTTACTGATTATGGAGTGCATATCTTAACACCAGCATTTTATTATCCAAATCAGAGCTAAGTGCAATCCCTGTGCACAGAATGTGCATTTCAGTCACTGTAGTCAGTTTAAGAGAATTTATCATTAGAGAAGTGTGGAAGCTGCTATTGCTGGTTTCATTGGGAAAATCGTGTTTGCCTTGCTGTCCCTGGCTTCAAACGTTTTTCAGGAACAGACCTGGAACAAGCACACTGTAAATGAGAAGTGTCAGGATCTCTATACTTGTTCTAGGTCAAAGACTTATTGAAGGCACTGCATACACATGACAGACAGGTAACGAACATTCTCAAAAGGAGAGGTCTGCAAAAGCATCTATATTCTTACCCTGACAGATTACCTTGTGAACTCCAGCTTTAGCTTCAGCCTTGCACAGCTGTAAAGGCTCCTTATCTTCTACTAACATTGCTTGCTTTGTTTTTACTTGCACACTGTGAGCTTCTCAGATCTAAGATGCAGCAAGTCAAATAGAGCCCACCTCACTTCCTCTCCATTCTTACTGGCCCTGGCCTACCCTTAACTTTTTTTGGATTTGAGGTCTTTCAATCATGGTGTGGTCGTTACCGAGTAGTCTGCATGCAAAAAAGCCTGCTTAGAATTACCCACTCCAGCTGATACCCATTCCATCAAGGAATGTTAATATTTGCATAACTCCTCCCATATTTCAGCCCATTGCTTGCATCAGGGTTGAAGGCTCCTGGGAAGAGTACTGAAGCAGGGGGCTGTAATGGTGGTGGGATGGTCTTCCTGACCATCCCACCAGCCATGATCTGCCTGCATTGCATGGCATAAATTAACATGTGTAATTAAAACAGAAAGGATTTATTAAAAAATGGCATAAGCATGTTGGTGTAAGCAAATTATATTTTAGCATTAAAAGATCAGTATCATGGGATCTACTAAATGTAATATGCATCTTTTTCTAGTGAATTCAATTGTAACATACAGACTCCTAACATTAAATTGTTTTGCTATGTTTATATTTTTAGCTTCCTCATTGTATGCCATGCCACCTAAAATGCATTTTCCTAATGATAAAGTGAACTATACCTTCGCACCAGGTATGTTGAGCTGATTGTAATGTTGGTCCTATGTTTGTAATGTTACTGCATTTGTGATTGATCATACTTGGAATACATAAATGAGGTGCGAAAGCATGTAAACAGGTGTCAGACACTTTTTGCATAATAATATGCGTAAATACACTGCCTGGCCAAAGAAGTCACACATTCTAATACTTTGTGGGACCCCTTTTAGCTTTGATTACGGCACACGTTCACCATGAGATCATTTCAATAAGCTTATGCAATGTCACAACAACATTTATTTCTGTCCAGAGCTTCATTCATTTTTTACTCTTTCACAATTTGAGCCTGATGAATCCTGGCATTGTCATCTTGGAATATGCACGTGCCATCAGGGAAGAAAAAATCAACTGATAAAAAAACCTGGTCATTCAGTATATTCAGGTAGGCAGCTGACCTAACAGGGACATAACATATGAAACGTAATAATCACTGCAGTAATTATCCAGTGGAAGGCTCTTACCTGTTTGCTTAGCTAATTCCAGGTGATGACTTTTTTTTTTTGGCCAGGCAGTGTATAATATGACTGCAGTTAAGCTATGCTTCATTTGTGATTCTTGATTTGGCAAAATTAATTTGCACACACAAATAAGTTGTCCACACATAGCTCAGCAGAAAGGATGTAGGACACAGCTCACAGCTGACCAATCAGCGGTGTGGAATTAGATAACATGATAATGTAAAATAGGCTGGGTAATGCTATTCAAGCATCACGGGAGCTGATTTAATATCATTCAGACATGAATAAATCAGCCATTCACAGTTCAGCAGAAAGGACTCCGCACACAGCTGGCCAATCGGCAGCAAGGGATTACTGTAAATTGCATAATATGTAGCGTAGGCTGATTCTGTTCACATCTTGGGAGTTGATTTATTTCCTTTCAGAACATCAGAGTAATTATGTACGGCAGGGGAGGAGCATCTGCTCTAGGGGATTTTTACCTGCCTGTTGGAAAGATGACTGTTACAAACTTGAAGTTCAAATATATTGTCACCAATTTGCTAAGAGTTGTGAAGGAGCTGTCTGTGCAAAATATACACAATTTACTCTTTTACACTGCAGTTGCTATTATAAATTATATGCGTATGTGCTTTCTCCTTATTGCTAAATTAAAAGCAGATATCCGGAACATACTGAGAAATTTTGTTGTGTTTTGGGAGGATTTGAATTGTCATGGTTGTTACGAATAAGGGCTCGTATACATGGGCTTTCAGTGACCACGTGCGGCAAGAATCTGCAGATTCAACCGGCTGGATTGACAGGTGGTCCCAGACAGTTGCGGCTACTCAGCCAGTCCATGGCCAGTCATCTGTCCCTATTCTCAGGTAACCAATGGGTGTGCAGATACATGCGAACATCAGCGGACAGCTGCGTCTTGTCAGCTCTGTAATTACCTTGTACAGGCTGAGCAGTCGCAGCAGTCTGGAACCCCATGTTCTCAGCCACATTAATCCACATTAATCCACAGATCATTGTCAAATGTGGCCACAAAAAGCCTGTGTAAATGAGGCATAAGGCTGTTATTATAATTCTCTAATGCACAAAAGCATCCAAATGAAATAATGAGAAAAAAGGCAGAAACACCAGCACCAAATTGAATCATGGACTAGATGTGGTTTGAATATCATTGCCTGTAGATGGTAGAAACTCAGATTCCTTAAAATCCAATTTCTGTTGGTGCTAGAGAACAGCACAAAATGTAGAGGTCTTTTGTGCAGAATTTGCGGTGTCATGAACATGACATCTTCTTTACCTCTGCTAACAAATTTGCAAAGTAAAGAGAAGCAAGAACTCATGCAATGAATATATAGCATACACTATCAAGGCAGTAGAACATTTAACAGCATTAAAAACAATTATAGGAAATACAGGGCATCCTTATTGAAGACCTATGTAAACAATACAAATAGTGAAGTGTGTGCATCACACGACAGCCAACTATCTTGATAATGCATGCCGTATGTGTTTGATATTTTGTTGGGATCCTCTTTCCCTTCATTACTTTATGGACTTATTACCAGTGCTAAATAAAGATGAGATAGCAACCAAAAAACTGTGCTACTGACTTTGAACTGTATTCTCGCTTCTATGGGTTTGAAGGAACAAGAGTTTAAACGCCTATTGTCTGTATGTACTTTTCAAAGGACATTTCTAGTTGAAAACAATGTCCAGTTGCTATTGTTTTCCCCAAGTGCTGAATTGAAGACAAGCGCAAGCACTCGCATTGTTCTACCTTAATTTTGCACACTCTTCTAGAAGTTTTTGAGGAATTATCTCCCTCAGCTCCTTCCCTGATTCAATATATGACAAATTGACAAAAGGAGGTTTGTTTTAGTAGAGCTTTTCCTCTTTAAGATCAAGTAAAGTTTGCATGAACAAACATTTTCACAGCTGTGACATAACATACATATATAATATATATTTTGGGGATTAATGTGGAGATGGGAAATTTTTAAACTGCTTTAAATAATTTATCACATGTAAATATTTTTTCTTCATGGGTCCTGTTATATATATGTACCTGGAACAGAGAAACTGTAGTTAGTAGAAGCTGACAGCGGATCACCTGCACCTCAGAACTTTACATTATTTACAAAGATCCTGGACCAAACAAGTGTCAGTCTGTCTAAAACAGTCATCATTCAACTCTCAAGGTGGAAAGAAAAGTTATTTAAAGGGGTTCTAAGGAAGCTAGATTTTCTAGATTCTAGAAGCCAGAAGCTAGATTTTGTGTTAACATTTGGGTTCAGGTCTACCATTGGTTCGAGGCGAACCCTGCATGTTCGTAGTTTCCGAGCCCAGCAAAATGATATGGGTATTCACATAGTAGTAGCTCATCTCAAGACCTCCTGCTTTCCAGCTCCCTTGTCAACTCCCATACTCGCCTCAAGGACTTCTCTGGAGTCTCTCCCATCCTCTGGAACTCTTTACCCCAACCTGTCCATCTATCTCCCACCTTGACTGCCTTTAGGCGATCCCTTAAGACTCATCTCTTCAGGGAAGCCTATCCTACCTCAACCTAACCACCGAACCATCATGTTCTCAAACAATTCATCGCCACACAGCTACCTCCTCATGTATCACTTGCCCCTCCCTTTTAGATTGTAAGCCCTCACGGGCAGGGTCCTCCTTACCATCTTGTCTTGAATTGTCGTGATTGTAATGTCTTCCTTATATTGTAAAGCGCTGCGCAAACTGTTGGTGCTATATAAATCCTATATAATAATAATCATAATGCACTGCCTGGCCTTTGAACTTACTGAAGATCAGCTGGCTTAAATGGATCAATAAGGAGAGTTTTGGATAAGCCCCCTCCTTACTATAAAAAGGTGCGTTCCCAGCAGCCATATTGTAAGCCCTCAGAGGCAGGGCCTTGTCTTGAATTGTATTGTGACTGTAATGTCTTCCTTATATTGTAAAGCACTGAGCAAACTATTGGTGCTATATAAATCCTGTATAGTAATAATCATAATGTACTTTAGCTGTGATGGGAAAAGCATTGCTGTTTAAGTTAATTGAGAGAGATTAGTGTAGGGCTTGTAGTCACTGGCGGGTCTCTACTGATTGCCCTCTAGGTAGCAGAATGCATTGTATCTTTCAGAATTTGGCGGTGGCAGGACAGTAGAGCTTTTAACTTTGGAGGAGGGAAACGCTTTTCCTTTTTATTTTTTTTCCATCCATCATTACATCTTAATGCTGCAGATGTCCTGCAGCTTCTTTATAGTCTATCCCTGTCCATATGCACTACAGTGAAAAAAGACTGCATGTGTTTTCCACAGGGTATATTTCCTAATTGTTGCTGACTGCAGTTTATTTTCACAGGCCTTTTTTTATATAGTGACAACAGTGAAATATGCCTGGGCATTGTTCACCGTCACAGAAGCATGTGACTGGGTGATTTACTAAGAGGAAATTGTGGGAGACAGGGTCAGAGCATTGTCACCCCATAACACAAAGTGCTCAAACAAGGAACCTTATATCAGTATCACTAGCTGATATTGTTATGTAAGCTAGCAATCAAAATAAAATAGACTTTCCAGGTGATATTATCATGGTAAAGCTTCTATAAGATTTGAATATTTGTGTCTACATCTACTTTATCAAAATATGCATGAGTTCTTTAAATTGAAGCTAGGGTACATTTTCTTATGTGTCCTGCCTGTGTGCACAAATCTGTACCCCATGAAATCCTTTTTAAGGACCAATATCTGTCTGACACAACTGAACTGTAAAAACACTGTGCACCCAAAACACCACAACCCTTAACACCAGCTGCACCACAACCCTCTGTATATATCCATATACCCACAAAGTGTTTAGTCTTTTCTTTGTTGAATGCATATAAAATGAATGTATTGATTTTATCAGTAACATCTGGGTGATTGGTAGTACTGATCCTGATCCAGGTCTGATTTTATTTTGATGTGAATGTCAGCTTCTTAGTGTCAAATCTCCTCTTCTTTGCTGAAGGCTCTTACTGACATAACATGTGCAGTAAGATATGGTAGAACCTCATATATGGGGCCACATCCAGCCAGTTGTAAATCCTAGACACCCAGTAGCCCATGGATGTGATAAAAATAAAAAATAAATAGAATAAATCTGTGAATTTATTAACTTAAAAAAAGTTTTGGCAGGTGGAAAAATAGCTGAGCCTGGACTAGCATTTGGCTCTCAGCACTATATAAAAGGTCGGGTTTCTGCCCTTGCTATCTTGTTTCAGAGACTCCTCATGTAGCTCCTCCTGTTTGTTATTATGACTCTATGGAATCTAGATCTGATTTAGACATTCCTCTCTCTACTCACATCTACAAGATGATATTCAAGGTGGTGTTGAGGTTTAGGAATTTTTCTTTTCTAAGGTTTACATTGCCATCTGTGCATTTGTTTGTTCAACCAGGGCAGTGCCATTCCTAAATGAAGAAGAAATTGTAAATCTGTAACTAATGTTTAAAAAAATAAAATAAAGAAGTAATGATGGGTGGGGAAATGGCCCAGTGTTTGGCTTTCAGTACTATCAAAGGTCAGGTTTCTGTCCTTTCTATCTTGTTTCAGAGACTGTTGGTCTCTCCCTTCTGGATTTACATTTTTTGCATAAGAGGTCTCCCTTGCAGTTCCCCTGTGAGTCTGTGCTGCTTTGGTATTTAAGTCAAGGTAAATGTCAGGACTTCCCCCCTGATGTATGGTATATATTAATAAAAAAGTATTTTTGCTTTGTTAAATGTCCCCTATGGGAGTGCCAAGCTTCTCATACCCTGTTACCAATAGTTTTTCCTATTAGCCTTGAAAATGGACAGGCATTAGTATCAAGATTCACTCCCACACAGACTTGAATGGGGTTCGCTGCTATTCTCCAGATTTGTGGATTTCAATTCGACTAACCCCGTGTGAATCATACCTGGAATCAATCCTCTCATCCCTCGTTAGAAGTAACAAGCCTCTTAGATGAATGATTCTGAACTCCAGACAGATATAAAAGACACAAATTAAAGCAGCAATTTTTTTTTTAATGCAGTTAGTTAAAGTGACATTAAAGTAAAAAAAATTTCCCTCTCCCCAATGTTAATGTTAGCACTTACCTTAAATGATGTATCTTAATCCGATCTTCCTCTACTTTCCTGGTGCTTTCATCTGTCCCTCCAGCGGTGCGGCGGCTCTCCGATCCAGCGCTGACTTCTCTGTCCTTGCTGGCACTTCCGATCCCACAGGGTCTGCATGCGGGTGCACGCGTCCATAGACTTACCTTGCGTCTCTGCTCGTCTCCCAGCCGAAAATCCAAACTGCGCATGCGCCCGCCCCAGGATACTCGGCGGCTGCCCGAGCAGTTTCGGATTCTCAGACGGGAGCGCGCGGCGAAAACGGGGTAAGTTTAAACCGCTGTTAAAGCGTTTTGTTTTTTAAAAAAAACGTTTTGCATATATCTACTGTTTGCTAGCAGTAGATATAGGCAAAAGAAAACGGTTTAGAAACTCTTTAGGTACTTGAATTCAACTTGATATCAGCCTCTTACTCTTCCCAATACCACAGCACTCAGACTGGATGTGGAAAGTGCAGCTTTGGGAGTTAGGTGGCTGCATGTGAATTTGCTGACAGAGACCATGCTTATAGAACAAAGGAGCAGAGTAAGCAAAGATATTACTTTATCGGCCTGCTACTGCTCTTTCACTGTCCAGTCAACAGGCTGTGATGCAAAAATTACACTACTTTATTCCAGGACTATGACAGAGAAAATGGTATCATCCTCTCTGCTGTGCTGTCTAGCAGGGCTGTATAAATCTCAGCGCTGCGTGGAAAGAAATACAAATCCTTTGTCAAACAAAACAGCTTCACTATATGTATCTAATCTACATATATTACTTTTTGCCTGAAGCTCAGCTTAAGGGGGAAACATTACATATACAGTATATGAAGTCACCTTTGCTTTACGTATTTCATATAAAACAAAATGCTTCATATTACAATGAGTAAAATAATTATTTGATCCCCTGCAGATTTTACAAGTTTGCCCACTTACAAAGAAATTAAAGGTAATTTTTTATCATAGGTGCAATTTTTATCATAGGTGTATTTTAAATGATAGAGACAGAATGTCAGCCAAAAACCCAGAAAAAAACAAACACATGATACAAATGTTATAAAATGAGTTGCAGTTCAGTGAGTAAAATAAGTATTTGATCCGCTACCAACCAACAATAACTCTGGCTCCTCCCACAGACTGGCTATGTGGTACACAGATTAGTCCTGGCAATTAAAGAAGGTGCTCCTAACGACAGCTCGTGTATAAAAAAAGACACCTGTCCACATCAAATAATTTTTTTCCACACTGTATATTCTTTTATTTTAGTTTTATTGAATACAGTTTCAGTCTCAAAATTCTGTACCCTTTGTGTGTGTGTGTGTGTGTTTTAATTTTTTTTGTAATATGCTGAAATTTTGTTTAGGAGAAGACATGCAGCTTCCCTGTAAAGTGGATTTCTCTTACGTACAAAACTCCAGTAATGAGATTTGGTGGACAATAAATGGGAAGAGAAAAGAAGATATTAATGATCCAAGAATAGATCATACTCGAAGGTAATTTACAGTAATGATTGTATGACTGAATGACACCCAAGTTCTTTTGTTTGGTCTAGCACAGGGTCGCTTGAGTCTTTGAATCTCAACAAAATATGTTTACCAAGGACCCCCCTAGTGGCATTGTACTATAGTTCCCCAAAGGTTGTTCATTCTTTTTTTCATGTGTCTTTAATTAAAAGAGAACTATGGGGTCCAAGCTTTCTTTACTTTTGGATTCCATGGGCTCATGGGCTCATGGGCTGTAGGAGCAAATTTTGCAATTTACTCCTATAATCCAAAATGCACCCTAAACATACAATCGTTACTTTAAGATGGTGGGCGGGGCTAAGCACCGCACTGGGGAGAGATCCCGACAATACTGTCGGGATCCTCCTAACTGCTCGTTCTCACTGTGACTGACGCAGCAGTTCCTTGAGAACTGCTGCATGTCAACGAATACATGGGCATGCGCAGCAGCTCTCTTCCTACCTCCGTCCCCGTCATCTGTGCCAGCAAATGACAGCGCGTGCATGGAAGGCCGTTTCTCCTCAGTGCCTCCGCCCCTCCTTCCTCTCTCTCCGTCTTGAACATGTGCAGCAGTTGTATGGAAACCTGTTCCCCCGTACATCTTAGTTCCCCCTGACCATTCAGCTATTACCATAACCCCGCCCCGTCCCGAAAGCTGCTTAGTATTTACATAGCTTCTCTGCAAGCTCCGGTGTTCCATGAGAAAGAGACTAATGTCTCCTCTCACATTGTGTGCTCTGATCGTTCAGCTTCCCCCTCCCCCACTGTACAGGAAACCTCTGACTTGTCTCCCCGTCACATGTCACCGTTCTCAGTCTTGTGTTGCTGCGATCTGATATTTCCTGTCACATCATCACCATCCTAACAGCTCATCCGCACTGCTCATCCACATCCACACTGCTCATCCATCCGCGCTCCTCATCCCCATCCGCGCTCCTCATCCCCATCCGCACTCCTCATCCCCATCCTCACTGCTCATTCCCATCCGTGATCCCCATCCGTAACAAAGATACTCATGTATAAAATTGTGTTTACCAATGGCATCAGAATCAACATGTCATTTTCTACACAGCACTAAAAATATGAGAGGATCACTAACTGCTTTGCGTGGGGCCCCACCAGCGGGTTTTTTTCCACTCTTATATATAAGGTATACAAACATCAGTCGTCTTGTATAAAAGTGTCTGAAGGAAAAACGGTTCTTGTTATCAATGGCAATCAGTCAAAGGAGAAACATGAAATTGCAAATCTGAGTGCTGTGTTTTGTATTTTTACACAAGCTTTTAACAAGAGTTTAGCAAACAGATTTACTTATAGAACTTGTCAGAAGTACCCCTGCTGCTACTAACTGAAATACGGCAGCTGCAGTCTTTGGATTCATTTTCTTGGTATATGAATGGTCATATATTTCCGGGTTCAGCAAATCCCAGGAGCCAGATTACCATAAATCTATACAAAGGCAGACAGTAACTTCTTTTAACCCTTTCCATTGTTTCTAGTGGGTGCCTGTAGAGTCCAAGATTGTATTGAATGGCTCCTGAATTCTACAATAAAGACCATTTAAATCCTTCTGTCAAAACTGACATTCACAAGGACAAAGTATATACCCAAAGGTGATGAAATCAACTTACGTGCCACACATGTATTGCAGCTCTCTAAAAAAAAAAGCCCACTATTCTAAAAGCAAAATAAGAATGACAGAGAGCACACCAACACAGTGCAGAAGTTAGATTTAATAAAGATACGACTGATCAAATTCACTCACAAGGATAGAGTATATAATAAGTCCAGGAACCCTCCTGCAATGGCCAATGACTGGGGATTAGCACTGAGACACACCAGTGATGCTGGAACTGGTTACAGCATAAAGAATGGCATCTGCTGGCTTATTTTTGTATTATTTTTGTTAGTTTATGCTACGTGAATGGGAACATGTAACAAATATAAAATAGGTGCTATCCCAATTTGGCTGCAAAAGTTGAAATACACTTTAATGCACTTTTAAAAAACATTGTTTTATAGTCTAAGGTGCCTCATCCCTTCTACATTTAACTGAATTTTAGTTTTATTGCAAAACAAGTGGTGGCAGAGTACAGTTTGCTACACTACATATTTCTTTTAGCTACTCTTTAGCGGAACTTACATTCTGTGTGGGGGCGCAGAGACCACTCCAAGTGAACCTAAATAGGCATGAAAGGCAAGAACCTGCTCCTCTGCTTAGGTCATCCTACAGTTGAAAAGTAATTTGATGTTTTCACTTCTTTTTTAGTGTTGAATTGGATGAGCAGAATCCCGGGGCTGAAACCATAACTGAGACCTTACACATCAAAAAAATCATTCCGGATGAGCTCCAACAAAACTATACTTGCTCAGCCAAAAACCTTTTGGGTTCCGTCTCCAGGCAAGCACTGGTCAATGAGAAAGGTGACCCTACTTAGCAGACATTAAACCATGAATTCATATGTTCTGTTACCACAATGCAGAAATGTATACATATTGTGCAGTAAAACATTTATTTTGAGAATGAAGAAAATATGTACAGTGTATCAGAAAGGAAAATCTAAAACTATATTGTATTGCACAGTATAGATTGTTTTTTGTTAAAATAATACAGTTGAAGTGCTCATTTTGTCTAGGGAGCTAAAATAACAAAGATATACTCACCTGAATCTTGGACCTGGCTGGCTGCTAGACCTGTCCCTGCAGCCTCGCTTCCCCTCGACACCGGCAATGGAATGTCCCTCAGCATCTTCATGTTCAGTACAATGTATTCGACATGATGACTCATGATTTCTTTGACCGCCAGAGCGAAAGGGGAACGAGGCTGCAGGGAGCGCTATAACAGTCAGCCGGTCCGAGTTTAAGGTGAGTATATCTTTATTTTAGCTCCCTAGATGCACTTAAAGGAGAACTATGAGGCGAGTGAAAATCACTCAGCGGGCGGACGTGTGACAATGAAACTGTTACATCGGCTCAATAGATTGGTTTTTTAACGCCACTTAGCTTCCAGGCACTTTGTTCTCCAAGCCCTGTTGTGAGCAAGCTCAAAATGAGTGATGCACTAGTTTATAATACACCTGCTCAAGTGAGCGAACTTCTGGATCATCTCCTTGCAGAGAGCAGCAAATGTCAGTCACGTCTCCCTGCAGGGATTCCCCCTCCCCTGTCCGATCCTCCAGCGCTGACTGGAGGAAGGGACAGGGAGGGGGCGGGTACAGCTGGCTCTGCCCCTAGATAGGCAGAGCCCGCTGTCACTCACGCAGCTGGGTGGATCTTGACAGTAATGTTGGGATCCATCCCGGCTGCTGCGGTCTCAGTATACCGCAAGCTATAGCTCGCGATATACTGATCTTTGGGTCATGGGAGGGCTCTAGAATATGTCCTCCCGTGACCATTAAGAGAACTATGGGGAAAAACACTTACCCCGTAGTTCTCTTTTAACCTTTGCAGTATGGGGGTAGCCCCCACTGCCAGGGTTAGATTTTCATATAGCCAGTGGTTCATTTAAGGTGTGCTAGTATTTTCTGATGGGATTGCTTATAAACATAAGTGACATCCCAGATCGTGTTTGACTGAGAGGAATCTCTCCCTTAGCTCACTGCAGGAGAGCTCCATAGAAAGGACCAGTTATGATTGACAACATAGACACTTACTGTATCTTTTCTGTAAACAGCTCAGAAAAGATGCCTGCATATGCATGCCAGAGAGGCTGACACTACACAGGTAAAGCTTAAAGGAGAACTATGGGGTTAAGGCTTTTCCCCATAGTTATCCTTAGGGTAACTAAGGGTAGCATCCTCCCCTCACCCTAAGCTCGGTATACCGTGAGCTATAGCTCGCGGTATACCGAGACGCCGCAGTATACCGCGAGCTACTGCCGCGGTATACTGAGACGCCACAGCTGAAGCGGATCCCAACAATTATGCCAGGATCCGCCCAGCTGCGTGACTGACAGCTGGCTCTGCCTATCTAGAGGCATAGCCAGCTGTACCCGCCCCTCCCCCGTACGTTCGGGCAGCCAGTGCTGCCGGATCAGATCCGGGAGGGGGGAATCCAGCCCCTCCCGTCACGGCAGAGAGCTGTGACAGGATCGAGAGGTGAGCGAACGCCGGTATGTGTTCGCTCACCTCCCGATCTACTGAGCCGACCTGTGACAATCTCATTGTCACAGGTCGGCTAGAATTATGAGGTGCGTGAAAAGCACTCACCTCATAGTTCTCCTTTAATACCACCCACACCCACTTTGTACCGTTTGCTGGTGCTATTTGCATTATTATGAGCTGGGCTGGGTAACTTTAATATCATGGCAGATTTTGTGGATGGCACCATTTAATTCAGATATTATCAATAAATGTAAAAACAGCTTTGAAAACATCATGGTAACAAGGATTTATACACTCAAAATCATTAAAATGCCATAAAAGAATACACGATGATAAAAAGCTCTATTCTATTAAATGTTATGACAATATGATAACAATTGCTATGTGGGTAGAATTAACAATAGGATAGTTAACATACATGAGTACTGCAGTGTAAAGCTCAGTAATTATTCTGCAATAACACTATTTTCTAATCACATATTCCCCAATCTACATGCACAAGTAATATTTATGTTGTGTTATAAAAATTCTTACCTGAGCCATGTGCTACATTGTTACAGGGTGATATAATTCACTGAAGGTGCATATGTAGTCGATATAATGACAAAGATCTGGTCAGTATTGAGTCTGCACTTTCTTGACATATTTTGACCTTCCAACTATTTATGTAATGGTGTCTGTGAACTCTTGACACCCCTTTATTGCAAAGCAAGCTGGTCAATTTCCCATCATAAAGCACAACATCCCGTTTTACTGTTAAGACTGTCTGCTGAATAATTATTGACATCAACAGAGATGACAACTTGCTTCATCAAGTCACTGTTAAATGCATGTGTGGAATATATTGGAATTGCTTTAGACAGCTTGTGTTGTTATGAATTTTGAATTATTCCTGTTTCCCAATAGAAAATATCTCGCTTGACATGTGATTTAAAATTAGGTTTTTTGTAGACATTGTATGTCATTTAAGATCTAGAGTATTGACATGTTGTAAGGCTGTCCTCTGTGTAACAAGTCAATAGAGACAGCTCAGCAGTTAATTTGAATGCATTAGGTGCTTTGGTGCTGACAACTGCATCATAATAATATGGTAATCACTGTTATAATGTTTTTTTCAGTTGGCCCTCCACGATACATCACTGAATTGGCATGTGGACTGGGAGCAACCCTGTTTCTTGTCATATGCTTCATTGTTGTGTATCATGTGTACTGGCTGGAAATGGTGCTCTTTTACAGGGCCCAATTTGGCACAGATGAAACCATTGGAGGTAAGATACTGTTAGTTATTTATATATAGATATCGATATCTATATATATATATATATATATATATATATATACACATGTATACATTTTTTTTGCGTTAAATATGTGCAAAGAGGCAACCGCATTACATATGCAAGTTTTGCTTCTAATTTGTTATGGTGGTTTTCTGGCACTGCTTCTTTTCCCAGTTGAAGTCTTTGGGTTGGGTGCACCACTAAAAACAATGCCTGAGTCTATGGGTCGGGCGAACCACTAAAAACAATGCATTTCTCACGAGGTTGAGATCTCAGCAGTTATTCAGCAGGGAGGCCTAGTGTTTGCTCCCGCTAATCTACAAATCCCTATACATAATACAATAACAGGATAGGTTGCCAGATGTGCAACATCAAATGAAACAGGTCACCATCTGGAAGTCAACTCTTTTCAGCTGCCAGCACCTTCACAGTGACCATGCCAGCACCTTCACAGTGACCAAGGCTGACCAAAACACTTAGGTGCAGATTATTGGACAGCATACATTGCCGTGGGCCCAGGCACAAGTGGACAGGCGTTCAAATATGGGAACATGTAAAGGCTGATTGGGCACATTTATGTGTACTTTAACCCCTTCATGACTGGAGATGTACACTGTACGTCCGCAGCATGAAGTGCCCAAATGACTGACCACGTACACTGTACGTGATCAGCTATTTTAAGCTTTTAAAAACCGATAACCGCTGAGATCAGCGGTTTCCATTCATTAATGGATGCCTCAGTATTGAGGCATCCATTAATAAAGGAATTCCCATGTGTATAATGATACAATGTTTAATTTTGCTACATATTTCTATGCTTCATTGAAATCTGTAGCAAAATGAAACATTGTATCATTGTAATAAAAAACATTGTATCAGACTTCTGATTGTTCTAAGAACATCAGAAGTCTTTAGTGACATCTGAATCTGACATGCTGCAGGATCAGTGTCACTAAGGTTATTATTGGCTGTTCCTAAGTTTTAAGCAGCCTAATAATAACCAAAAATGAAAACAAATTATTCAATTATCAAGCAGTCATAGTGGCTGCTTAATATAATAGACAAAAAAAGTGGGGAAAAAAGCATGAATTCTAAAAAGAAGTATAAAGGAATAAAAATAATTTAACAAAATAAAAATTATACATACAAATCTATTTTATCCTTTAATTATTATACAAATTAACCCCTTACAATGAAGGGTGTTTTTCACCCTAAGGGGTTAATTTTTCTATTTAACCCCCCTCATGACGGCATTGTTCAAAGTAGTATGTTAGCTTTTTGGTTTTAGGCCCAGAAGTACAAAAACATTTCTCAAATCCTAGTGATGTGAGATGTTTCCAAATAAAGGACGAATAAATTAATTTATTTTAATGCATTTTTTTTAGCTGTAGTATTTTCTAAAAAAAACAATAATAATCAAAACTGGGGGGGAAAGTGTTTTCTTTACGTTGTTTCCTCCTTTTTTTTATATTTTATCCATCCTAAGTGAGGCGTTAGGCCCACATATGTGATATATTCATATTGCCCTATCTGTCCCCTAAAAAAACAATATACAGGTGAAACTCGAATAATTAGAATATCTTGCAAAAGTAATTGCAGTAAGTGCTGCAAAAGGGGCCCAAACCAAGTACTGAGTACATATGCATGCTTGTACTTTTCAGAGGTCCGATATTGTTCTATGTACAATCCTTGTTTTATTGATTGCATGTAATAATCTACTTTTTTGAGGTTGTGGATTTGGGGTTCTTGGGTTTTTCATGAGCTGTAAGCCATAATCATCACAATTATGACAAATCACGGCTTGAATTATCTTGCTTTGCATGTAATGAGTCTATCTCATATATTAGTTTCACCTTTTAAGTTGCATTAGTGAAATAAAT